CTAATCAATGAAAATCCCAAAACCTTTGTCCCAACCAGATAGATAGATAGATAGATAGATAGATAGATAGATAGAAACAGGCTGAATAGATAGATGGATAGATAGACAGACAGACAGACAGATAGATAATGAGCAGGATGAAGTGAATAGATAGATAAAGAGACACAGATAATGAAATACATAGATAGATAGATAGATAGATAGATAGATAGATAGATAGATAGATAGATAGATAGATAGGCAGTCAATGAGCAGGATGAATTGAATAGATAGATAAAGCGACACATAGATAAAGAAAGGGATGAGACGAATAGATAGATAGATAGATAGATAGATAGATAGATAGATAGAAACAGGCTGAATAGATAGATGGATAGATAGACAGACAGACAGACAGATAGATAATGAGCAGGATGAAGTGAATAGATAGATAAAGAGACACAGATAATGAAATAGATAGATAGATAGATAGATAGATAGATAGATAGATAGATAGATAGATAGATAGATAGGCAGTCAATGAGCAGGATGAATTGAATAGATAGATAAAGCGACACATAGATAAAGAAAGGGATGAGACGAATAGATAGTTAGATAGATAAAAAAAAGTCTGAGATACATAGATAAGTAGGTAGATACAAACAGACTCTGATAGCTAGTTACCTAGATAGACTGATAATAAGAAACTTAGATAGATAGATAGATAGAGAGAGAGAGAGAGAGAGAGATAGAGAGAGATAAAAAATAGATAAATAGGTAGATAAAAAGAGACTCTCATAGCTAGCTAGATAGATAGATAAAAACAGACTGAGAAAAATAGATAGATTGATAGATAGATTGATTGATAGATAGATGAAAACGTACTGTTTATTCGTACTGCATCCAGTATAGTTGTAAATAGAAATGTTTGCCTGTATGTTAAATTCCTCGATCGACAAACAAATGATGCTTAAAACTCATTGTTGTAATAATAACTATGGTGTCAAGATTAATAATTGAATAAAAAACATATTCTCGTCTCGTAAAACTTTTCACTTCTCCGCCTGATGAATTCTGTCGCATGAAGCACCGAGTAGCCGATATTGACATTATTGAATTATATATATATATATATATATATATATATATATATATATATATATATATATATATATATAAGCAAATATGGATATAGATCTGACAGTATGAAAAATATATACGGAAAAAGCAAAAACAAAATCCTTATATACAATTATGCTGTTTTAATGTTAATATGTTATATTTATGAATATGTCCTGAAGATGGTTTATTAGACCGACACGTCAGACGTTGACATATTAACATTAAAACAGCATAATTGTATATAAAGATTTTTGTTTTGTTTTTTTCCGTATATATCTTTCTTCATATATATATATATATATATATATATATATATATACTCAACTCTCCCGTTGAATTCGACGTATGAGGATCAAGCAGATCAGTTCCTAGGAAACCTACAGCCAGAAAACAGCACATGAGATTTGATTATAATGGTGAACGTTTCGTGCAGGACCATCCACACTCTTTGAAGAGCCGAATACAGAGACCTGGTGCACTACATGCCACGGGGTCCCAAAACGACCCTCCGCAGGTTTTGAATTCAGAGTTGTCCTTCTTCTAGACCAGTTCCCATCCAAGGCTATAGGACCCAGTTTGTCCTGCTATTTACCCATAGGTAGAGGGAGAAGAGGATCTACACCTTTCCCAAGGGTATTAGCACGTAAGTGAATGTAATGGATTCGACTAGAATTCGAATCTCCGATTCCTCAATCCAAGCCGCTATCCATTACTCCACTAATCTGTTCTGCTATTTACCCTTATCTGGGTGGAGAAGAGGATTCATACCTTTCCCAAGGGTCATTCATTTATGAGATACATGCTTAGGCGATCATGTATCTTTCTGAAAAGGCAGATTTTTGTTCCTGCAGTAGGTTGCCATTTCTTTCTGCAGTAGGGCAGTTGCCATCGAAGGCTATAGAATTCGATTTGGATATTAGCACGTCAGTGAATGTCGTGCATTCGACTGGAATCCAAACTCGGCCCTCCGAATCCTCAATCCGAGCGACTGGCCACTCCTCCACCGTGAGCTCCAAAGATAATATTTTTAAAAAAAATGTCTCTTTTTTTCCAGATAACCAGCAAATCTAAACTGTACATTCATTAAAAAAAAATAAAATTTATTAAATCAATAATAATAAGCGAAATATAGTAAACAACGAAAAATGTATTTTTATTTTCGAAATGTAAGTTGAATGCCATTTTGCATTCATTTCGTTTTAAAAATGAAATGAGTGAAGTGGGTGCCGTTACTTTCCAGAACATTCTCGAAGACGTTCTCGAAAGTTGTCCATAACTCGACGAGTCATTTCATGTGGAATGGAAGTAATTTTATGACAAATGGCATCTATTAATTGTTCAATAGATCGAGGACCATGAGTGTATAACTTTTTTTTTCCGATATCCCCTTAAGAAAAAA